CCGAAGTGAAAACCAGGATGTGTCCTTATAGAGCTCAATGGATTGGGGTGTGACCTAGGCCAGGGGTTTCTGACTCAGTTCTCAAGGCCTACCTGCAATCCATGATTAACCCATCTCCTAATTCTATTCCTACAGATATATTAAAAAAACCTTGACCATTGCTGTGCCTTGAATGCTGTGTTTTGAACCACTAATCTAGGCAATAGATTATTCTCAGCTAATAGATAGAACTATAATCACAAACAAGGATTAAGGTGGAACAAATTGTGCTAGCTAGAAGGTGGAATATTTATACTAGATTAGAACCATACCATGATTACTACATTACCAGTGGTAGACATATAGTAGGTGAGGCATTTTTAAGATTAAAGTTGGTTATAAAAATGAATAGTTCATATTAGAGATATTTACAGGTGGTATATTCTCAATCGATCTAAGTAACAGCAAAATTAATTTGGTTAATCCTACAAGCATTCATTTTTTACTTACATCCTCTGAGTACTAAAAAGCTTTCTCATATTACTGCATTGACTCAAAATACATTGACTGTATTATTATTTAGCTCTCATGGGGATTAAAAATGTCGTCATGTCGCCAGTGTTGTTATAAAGTAAGCACTTCTGCCAGAAGGTAACATATACATATGTATATAAAACTATTCTCAGCAAAATACTGATAAAAACTGTCAGCACAAATACAGAATGCCAGTCCTGCAATTTTCAGAGGTTTTACGCATTTTGGCTGACAATATACCAACCGTGCTCTCGGATAACCAAAGTGATGAAAACCATGACAGGGCACTGAACACTAGCAGGTCTGGGTTTAAATAACCCCAAAACCCTGCTTATAGATCAAAATGAGAACTATGACCTCAAAACGTGTCTGTGCATCGAAAACGTGACGCCGCAAGCATGTTTATGTCCCAAATGAAATTGGGGGGGGGGGGGGGGGCAGCGCTATTTAGAAGCACGGGGCTGCAGCGTCCTCAACAACGCTGGATCCGATCGCTACACCAGATGCTGCTCGGAAGGAGACGCACCACGGATTAGGTGAGTAACCTCTCTCTCCTGCAGCGTGCCGATCGGGCACTGTGTGAGCGCACCGATCAGGTGCAGCCACTCTGTGCCGATTGGGCACCGTGACATCTACCAGTCAACTTGATAATATTGTGAAAAGTGATTAAGTCATCTTAAGACATTTCTGTAGGACACATTCCAAATACTGTAATAGAGCTGAATAGACTGTTTACTGGAACATGGAGGTATAACTCAGTGTTGTTAAGATTATACAGTTTTGCACACTCATTGTCAGGTTCTGTACGGCCAGTTATGTCATACCTTTTTAATGGAAAATCCCAGCCTGGAAGTGGCACTGTTAATAAAAGCATTATATTGATAATGCATTAAAATATGTAAAAAATAAATTAAAATGATGAATGATATGTCCAGTGAAAATAACAAATTGTATGTTTGTTAGGTACTTACTTGTAGTGGTGACTTTGCCAGATCCACAGCTGCATTATGTTTCTCAATGGTTTCCTCTTGATAGGCTGAGAGCATCAGTGGCTGCCAGGTAAACCCTTCTTGTACCGCAATGTAGAGGAATGGAAAGCCAGGAAACAGACGTGCTGGTCGGTGAAGCCCGAGCTTCAGGGTTTAACTGTTGCCAAATTATTTAACTTTTGAAGGTAAAAAGGCACCTGGATAAATGAGCGTAAGTTGTTATGGGGATGACAATGTACCTTTAATGAGAAAGCATTAACATTAGGGTGAAAAAAACACATAGCAAAGTGACAAAGAATGCTTGAATCACAAATGGAATTTTGGAACGAAAAGGCTGAGTCGTGAAGGGGTGAAACCATAACATTTGCTTACCTGTGCTATTTTAGGGTTAGCCTTTGCTCCTACAAACACAAAGGATCTATTCACTAAACATCAATGTGCGATGACTAGAGAACTATCTTACACCATTCATATTTAAACAGTTAACTATATCCAGTTGTAGATTTTTTCCAGCTCTTAGTTATTTTTGTTTAAAGGACCACTATAGTGCCAGGAAAACATACTCGTTTTCCTGGCACTATAGTGCCCTGAGGGTGCCCCCACCCTCAGGGTCCACCTCCCGCCCGGCTCTGGAAAGGGGAAAGGGGTAAAAACTTACCTTTTTCCAGCGCTGGGCGGAGAGCTCTCCTCCTCCGATCCTCGTCTTCTCCTCCCTGTCGGCTGAATGCGCATGCGCGGCAAGAGCTGCTCGCGCATTCAGCTGGTCACATAGGAAAGCATTCATAATGCTTTCCTATGGACGCTTGCGTGCTCTCACTGTGAAAATCACAGTGAGAAGCACGCAAGCGCCTCTAGCAGCTGTCAAGGAGACAGCCACTAGAGGAAATAGGGGAAGGCTTAACCCATTCATAAACATAGCAGTTTCTCTGAAACTGCTATGTTTATGAAAAAATGGGTTAACCCTAGCTGGACCTGGTACCCAGACCACTTCATTAAGCTGAAGTGGTCTGGGTGCCTAGAGTGGTCCTTTAAACATTGCATGGCCATTCTAAAAGTGATACAATTACTTAAATTTAAAAATGGCTACCTCTGCTATAATAGTCTATAATCTCCATGATGGTTCTCAAACACATATAGTTACGTAGGTTCAAACAGGCCATTTCAAGTATCTTTTAAAGCAGGTGATGCAAAAAAAGGCTGAAAGTCCAGCCAATTTTTTCTTGGTAACAGTTAAAGAAATCCGTTTTGAATTGCTAGTCTCTTGATGTGTAAAGAACAGGTCACTAAAGAGCTGAATATACTGTCCCTGTGTGTATTTAGAATGTTATCGTCAGACTTGTGCATGGCGAGAAAATTTGGTTTAGCCATAGGCTTAATAATATTTTATACCTGAAAACCTGATTCAGAGAGTAATCAAACCAAAAAGGTGTGAATATTGGCCAATCTGTGTAGTTCAAAATATATACATAATAGAAGTATTGATCCACAGATCAAGTCAGAAAAAGTAACCATTAAAAGGGAAAAAAGGCAAAGCAATGAAAAAAACTACATTTATTTTTTATGAATGAATTCAGAATACAGTTGTGCAGTGGCGTCTCTAGGATTCATTTTTTGGGGGGGCACATGGTGGGCCAGGGACAAAAGTAGGGTGGCACATTTAACCCCGCCCTCACCGCAGTTTGACCCCGCCCCTGTCGCATGTTAAGCCCCGCCCCTGACACAATGTGTTGTTGTTTTTTAATAATCCCTGGTGGAGGATTCATTATTTTCCACCAGGGATTATTTAAAAACAAACACATTTCCCTTTATACAGTGCCATAGTTGCCAACAATTGAAAAAAAATTCCAAGGACATTTTGCAGCACAGCTATCAATTACTGTCTGTGTATAATATCCCTGGACAGTCAGTGCTCTCTGTATAATACAGGGTTGTGTGTATAATAAATTGGGACAGTCAGCAGTCCCTGTACAGTGCTGCTCTCTGTATAATACATGGCTGTGTGTATAATATCCCGGGAGAGTCAGTGCTCCCTGTATAGTGCTGCTCTCTGTATAATACAGGTCTGTTTGTGTATACTATCCCAAGACAGAGAGCAGCACTATACAGGGAACACTGACTGTTTCAGGATATTATACAGACACAGACCTGTTTTATACAAAGAGCAGCACTATACAGGAAGCACTGACTATCCCGGGATATTATACACACACAGATCTGTATTATACATAGAACAGCACTATAGTATTATATAGATAGCTGAGCACAAACCCCATGTCCCAATCTCTAGACTACTCGTACCTGTCAACAGCAGCTCCCAGACGCATGTAACAGGGCTAAAGTGTGCGGCAGCTCACACAGATGATTCAGCGGTAAAGCGCACTCGCTGGCAGAGCCAAACTGGGAATCCAAAGCAGCCCTGGAAAAAATGCTGAGTCCATACACACACACACACACACACAGACTGTTGAGTCCATTCACACACAGACTGCTGAGTCCAGACACACACAGACTGCTGAGTCCATACACACAGACTGCTGAGTCCATACACACACACACACACACACACAGACTGTGTATGCCATTCCTACAATTCAATATATATATATATTGTACAGTGAGCACACAAGCTCACTGACATGCGCAAATAGGCTCACTGACAGACAAAAAACTCTGACTCACACACAAGCTTAATACAGACAAACTCACTTGTATAAATACAAGACTCACTACAAAGAAGTTCAGGGACACACACAAGCTCACTAAAGACAAGCTCACTGACACACACATGCTCACTAAAAAGAAGCTCACTGACACACACAAGCAGTACCATCTTAACAGTGCTAAGGGCCCCGGGCAAAGCAGTGCACTGGGGCCCTTCCTACACAACAACTCACAGGAATAAAAATGTAAATTATTGATAGACTGCTGAGTACATACACACAGTACACTGAATACGAACACCGAGAGACTGCTGAATACACACACACACAGATTTCTGAATGCACACAGACTCCTGAATGCACACAGGCGTTGCTGAATGCACACAGGCTGATTTATACACTTACACACAGACTGCTGAGTCCATACAGACACACACACACACACACACAGACATACAGATTTCTGAGTCCATACACACACAGACTGCTGAGTCAAAATACACACACAGACTGCTGAGTCCATTTACACACACACACACACACACACACGCATACACAGACTGCTGAGTCCATACACACAAACACAGACAGCTAAGTTCATACACAAATACAGACTGCTGAGTCCATACACACACAGACAGACTGCTGAGTCCATACACACACACACATACTGCTGAGTTCATACAGACACACAGACTGCTGAGTTCATACAGACACACAGACT